GTATTTTGTACCATCGGAAAATCCACCCCCACAACTCACAATTGCTGATGGCCCAATTGTGGAGAGAGTGCAGAGTTTCCCATACCTGACCAATGTGCTCATGACCGGCTCCGGTATAACACCAGAGGTCTCACTCCGAATCAGTCGAGCGGCATTATCTTTTCATCGGCTGCGTAACACTGTGTGTAAGCTACCTGGTCTCTCGCTCTGCACAAAGCTCCACGTTTTCTCGCCCACGATCATTCCCTCCCTTCTCTACGCTTGCGAAACTTGTATCCCCCTAATGCAACATCTTTACCGGCTAGAAACATTTAGGCTGGCCTGCTAACAATCCATCTTGGGTTTAACCATATCTGTGTGTGTGCGTCTAAGTCCATGTGTCTCTATGTGTGTGGGTCGACGTCTGTGTGTAAGTCCATGTGTGTGTTTGCCAATCTCCGGGTCCGGGGAAATCGTGAAACATCCCTAAGGGGGTCCTCGGGTAAAAACCCATCGCACACGGGCCCCCCCTCCCCTCGAGACCCTACGGGCGTGTATGCGAGTGTTTAGTGGGGCGTGCATGCGGTCGTTCGTGGGGGGGTGCGAGCAGAGGGTAGCGCCGGCCGAGTTGCTCCGCTGCGGTGGCACCACATACCCTACTAGTAATGGCAGAACTCCACAACTCCAGGAAGTGGCTCCGAAGCTCGCCATAACGTCAGAGGCCATGGTCATTTACAGCCAACGTCAGTTGAGCGTGGACAATTAGACCCAAGCGAAACATAACATAAAAAATAATGTTTTAAAATATATATTTTTTTCTTTTTAATGATAGAATATAGTATTGTCATCAGTATGACATACGTATACCAATTTTGCAGTCGATACCACATTGGGAAGTGGGTTAACATTTAGTTACAAGATTTGAGCATTTGACAACAACAACAGAGTGAGTTAATAGAAAGCGTGTTAAAAGATTATTTAAAAATATGTTTTTTTACTTTTTATTATATAAAATAGTATTGTCATCAGTAAGACAAGTATACGAAGTTTTCAGTCGATACCACATTGGGAAGTGAGTCAAATTGAGTTACAAGATTTGAGGATACGACAACAACAACAGACAGATTGAGTTAAATAAAAGCGTGTAATAATAAAAAGGACACTCCGTCTTGCGACAATAAGACGCCTTATTAAAGTCATTGGGGACTGAGGAGCGGAGGGGGGAGAGGAGAAGTTGGGGGGGGGCGTGGGTTTTCCATAGGTCTTCATTTGAATTCTGACCACACGCTTCAACAAAACACAGATGCCTTATCAACGCCTTTGAGAATTCAGCGAAGCATGCCAATATTGCGTGTGGTCCTGGGGCGTTTCGTTTACTTTCTATTCACATCTTAAATGCCAGGAATGAATGAGACACGAGGAACGAAATGGAAAGGAACCCTGAGATGAAATGCGAAAGGGAGTCCGAGACATCATAAAAATCTGTGGTGCTCTATTATTGATAAGGCCAGGATTACATCTATCATGAAAATTGATTGCTTTGGTCTGATTTCCAGTTGGGATAATTTCACACTTTTTTTTGGTCCTTTGCTACTCCTGCCAAAAAAAAATACCCGACGGAGGCCAACCTCCATGGGCTTTGGTAAAAGTACGAAGCCGCTGCCTGCTGCTCAGTGAGCCAAGCCAGCAATCTCGCGGCCGGATTAGCGCGCCCGAGTATTTTTATTCGGCATTCTGTAGCGCGCGCGTGGTTGTAGCACACTGCACGTGATGCCCCCCATGGGGACTTGGCACAGCGCTATTCCCACTAACACGCGTTCACACAACCATTTAACTTACGGCAAGGGAAACCTCGCGCTGTAATGTGCCTCAGCCCATCCATACGCCTCGTGCGCTTTTCGGGCACATGCTTTTGTGATTATTTGTTACTTCTGATCTTATAGATGTTGTTGGGTCAACTTAAGATGCACTCCAGAACAGCATCATGCCGCCTCTTGGTGGCATAACCTGATTACTTCTATTTCCAGCGTGCACTGTGTTTAATTAGCGTCCAGGTGGTGGGTAAGATACTGTTAGTTTCACGGTTCATTTTATGTCCTCGCAGTTTAATAATTGCGCCAGACCCATCCTCCCCTCCTTGTTTCTGGTTATTATTTCTTGGACCGAACGAGAGCGCTTTATTGCAGACACCTACAGAGCGCTGCGCCCCGTATGAAGATGCGATTTCGAATAAAAAACAAAGAGGGGTGGACCGTCCGTTATCTTCATCACGCGCACAGAAATGCACGGGTCGGTGTTGGGATCTAATATTTCTCCCATTGATCTCGCATTTACAGAATATCTTGCAAAACCCAACAACACCTGTCAGCGAGCCTGTGGATAATGACTAATTTAATAGTGTTCCAACGGGCTGCAGTCTGTCCATTGGCAGCGTTATGACCACTGTCACATCGTATTGCCACTTTCTAAACGTTTTCAGTTCAGTACAACGTTGCATATCCGACTGGCGTATATCTTCCTCCCGAACACAATTCACCGCCCGCACTCAGCAGCGGTACGTTGTGCACGGTGTAAGTGTGACTTTAAATAGATGTTCGCATATCTGATTCTTTCACCTCATCCGCATATATACCTTAAGTTCCAAATGAGCAGATACGCGACGTTGTACCGTGTTTTAAATATCACGGTTTAAGTGTTGGGTAATGCTAGGTGTACTAGCTATGGTGTTTAATGCAGTACAAATAGCTGCCATGGCTACAGCCTGATGTAAATATCAGTAATTGTCAATTACCTGCAGACTGATATATATGTAATGAGCGACTTCCACGACACGTCGTATAGAGGGTACTTCTTATTTATTTCTCACACTGGGCACAACACCGGTTCTTCCTCTCACTGAATGTAACACGAGGCAGTAACACCTCTACTGGCCACACGCACAGCCGATCACTCGGCGTGGTCCCCTCGCCCTTCACTCGTCACCGCCGCTGGCTGGCGGTGTGACGACGACGGCGATGGAACCCACGCAGGAGATCTTCCACGTGGTCGGACGACGGAGAGCGATGTCGGTGAACAGCGACGCAGCCAGGACCCAGGACCCCACACGAGCCCCGAGCTCCGGGTCCGCTCCCCCTTATATACCCCCAGGAGTGGCTAAGCCCCGCCTCCGGCCACGCCCTCTCGTGGAACCTTCGAGCAGGTTCCCGGAGCATCTCGGCTAACCCCTCCTGTTACCTTTGCCTCAGATACGCCTCCTTCCCCGATTGGCTGTTACCTCTGTGGCTGTACCCGTGAAACCCTTGCAATGCCAGAAGGTGTCACTTTGTCATGTCAGTAGACGTAACCCTGACATTACATCTATATTAGAGCAATTAACTAGATTGTTGCTGCAAGGGGTGCACTAATAAGTACGTAGCTCAATATGGCTTTTATCAGCCCCTCTTTAGCCACTGTTTGTTTTTTATGCCCCCTATTCAGCTGACGTAGTGATGCCAGACACATTATCTGATACACGAGCCCGTTTACGAAACAGATTTTCCTACGATGAATGTTGTGTCGGCCACCGTGTCTCTGGCCGATGTAACCCCCCCCCCCCTCCCGAGTGTGAGAGTGTATACCGAAGAGCGCTCGTGCTACGTGCAATGCACGACCACTCCATTCCACCATTTCCATTCCTCCGCTCTAGCAATGAATGCAAATTTTGGCTGATGGTTTTTTTATCTAGATTTGAAGTTTTCGTGACTGCAGGGATCCATACTCTTTGTTTTTTTTGGTAAAGTCATCACGTAGTGTGTAGAAAATACAATCAATTAAACCACATGACGTTTCGATCGCAACACAAGCGACCGTCATCAGGTGGAACAGAGGAACAGATACAGCAGGAGAACTGCTGACATAAGAGAAAGAGCTGCTGCTGCAACAAGAGTTTATATCGGATTTTGGTGGGCTCAACCCAAAGGTAAGTGGGCAGAGCTAGAGAAGGAATTTGTATGTAAATGTGAGAGATTAGCGTGTCATTGTGAGAAGGTCCCCAGCCACCGGAGGTGGAGGGGATCCTGTGCCTGGGCTGCCTCACAGACATTTAGCCTGGTGATGTACTCGGAGAGTCGGAAATAACAGCTGAAACAGGCAGGTAGGATGGAAACATAACTGTCAGTTAAGACTTTACTTGGTTAATAACATCCTTACAATGATTGCTCAGTTTGTATCCATCTTCCCGGTTGAAGTTATGTCTATGGATGGCTTCATGAACATGTTTTTTTGTTGTTGGTCACGCTGCTTAAGTGTAACAATGGCTTTGGCCATGACAAGCTGGAGGGGAGTCTGACATACTCATGAGTAGGGCATGATGGCAAGAAAACAACGGCCTTTGCAACGCGCATACGTTTGCCTAAATATCCCTCACACTTGTCACTGCTTGGAACAACCACGACGCTATTCGGGGGGGGTGGCAACATTTTACGATGCTCCGCATTAGCCCGTAGTGTAAAACGTTGGCGTATTACGGCGATCCGTACGTGGCATGACCACACGTGACCGCGCGCCCACCACCAATGTTCCACCGTTTGACTTCACATCGTCGAGAGCCCGCGGAAGTGAACGGAGAGCGGCTCCATGGATAATGCACAGGAGATTTGGCCGTGCTCACCTCCGATGAGCCCTGCGGTGCAAGTTGGGATAAACAATGCATCCCTGATTGGAGGGGGCTCTCGCGGCGGCGGCTGCAGCGAGGTGTCGCACAAACGCGGTCGCAGATTGCACCTGCGGTTTGCGAGCTTCGAATCGTGTGAATGGCACGCAATGTTTCAGACACTGTTAATAGCTATTGATTATGCATTATTAATTTTTACATTTTCACGTCAAAATTTCATTTACACAACTGAAAATGTCTTAATTAAAAACCACAATTCACAGTTTTTTTTCTCCCAGAACCTGTATCCCCATGTCATTTTTATTAATCATGCCTTATTCCTGCTCGACCCTCCCCCTTTATCTCCCTGCAATTCTGATTCCTCAGCCAGCGCTGTCCACGCACGCAGCTCGGCGGTCGATCTTCACCGCGCGTCATGCCCCGGCTCGCCCTGCCCCAGCAAAATGGATCCTCTCCGCGTTGCCCTCCTTTGCCTGTGCTGCCTGCGCTGCGCCGTCACCGCCACCGCCGCCCAGGCCTCCGTCCTCTCGTCGGCCCTGCGCTACTCGGTCCGCGAAGAGGAGCCGCCGGGGACGCTCGTGGGGAACCTGGCCCGCGACCTGGGCCTCACCGCCGCGCAACTGCACACCCGTGGATTCCGAGTGCTGCAGGGCACCAACGCCTCCGACTACCTCGTCGTGAGCGCCGACAGCGGCGAGGTGCGGGTGCGCGGGCGCCTCGACCGCGAGGCCGTGTGCCATCGGGCGACCGGCGACTCGGGCTGCGCCCTACTGCTCGGGGCCGTCCTGGACCGGCCCACGGAGCTGGCGCGCGTCCGCGTCGACGTGCTGGACGTCAACGACCACGCGCCGCGCTTCCCGGCCGAGAGCGCCCTCCTCGAGATCACCGAGAGCGCCGCGGCCGGCACGCGGTTCACGCTGGATGGCGCCCACGATCCGGACGCGGGTGCCAATGCGCTGCGGCGCTACGCGATGGAGCCCGACGACGGCGCCTTCGCCCTCGACGTGCACCCGGCGGGCGGCGGCGGCGCCTTCGCCCCCGTGCTGGTGGTGCGCCGCACACTGGACCGCGAGCGCCAGGCCGTGCACACGTACGTACTCACCGCGCTCGACGGGGGCCACCCGCCGCTGACCGGCACCACCCTGCTGACCGTGCGCGTCCTCGACTCCAACGACAACGCGCCCGCGTTCGACCGGCCCGTGTACCGGGCGCGCGTGCCCGAGAACGCGCCCGTGGGCACGCCCGTCGTGCAGCTCAATGCGTCGGACCCTGACGAGGGCGCCAACGGGGAGGTGGTGTACACGCTGTGGGCGCACGAGGCACCGCGCGTGAGCGACCTCTTCGCGGTGGACTCGCGCTCGGGCCGCGTCACGCTCGAGGGCGCCCTCGACTACGAGGAGGCCAACGTCTACGAGATCTACGTGCAGGCGCGCGACCGGGGGCCCAACTCCATCCCCGCATACAGCGAGGTGCTCGTGCGCATCCTCGACGTGAACGACAACGCGCCCGACGTGCAGGTGCTCGTCCTCGGCCAGGGCGGCGGCAGCGTCACGGACGACGCGGCCGTCGTCGGCGTGTCCGAGGGGGTGCCGCCCGGTGCCTTCGTGGCCTTCGTCCGCGTGAAGGACCGCGACTCTGGCCCCAACGGGCGCGTGAGTTGCACGCTCGAGAGCGCGTCGGCCGTGGGGTCCGGCGCGACGCTGCCCTTCGCCCTGCACGCCTCGGACGGGGGCGAGGTCTACGCGCTGGTGACGGCGACGCAGCTGGACCGCGAGGCGGCCGCCGAGTACAACCTGACGGCGGTGGCGCGGGACAACGGCGTGCCGCCGCTCGTGTCGGTCAAGACGTTCGCGGTGCGCGTCACGGACGAGAACGACAACGCGCCGCACTTCTCCCGCTCCGCCTACGAGCTGCACGTGCCCGAGAACAACATCCCCGGCGCCTACGTGGGCTCGGTGAGCGCCAGCGACTCGGACGCGCAGCAGAACGCGCAGGTCGACTATTCCATCGTGGACTCGCAGATCGACGGCATGTTGGTGTTCGCCTACGTGTCCATCGAACCGGCGAGCGGCGCCCTCTACGCCCTCCGTGCCTTCGACCACGAGCGCACGCGCCGGCTAGAGTTCCGCGTGCAGGCGCGGGACAACGGCGCGCCGCCTCTGCGCGGCGAGGCGGCCGTGGCGCTCGTCATCGGCGACGTGAACGACAACGCGCCGGTGGTCATCGCGCCGCCGCTCGACGCCAACGGCACGGCCGACGTGTACGTGGCGCCGGGCGCCCGCGCCGGCACGCTCGTCACGCAGGTGCGCGCGTCCGACGACGACGGAAACGAAAACGCCCGACTGAGCTACGCCATCGTACGTGGCAACGACTGTGGCCTCTTCCGGATCGACGCCTCCGATGGGGTCGTGCGCACGGCGCGGGCGTTGCCCCACGAGCACGCGCGGCACGAGCTTGCCATCGCCGTGCGCGACGGGGGCGAGCCGGCCATCACCGCCACGGCCACGGTGCGCGTGCTCGTCACAGACGCGCACCCCGAGGGCCGGCTCCTGGGCAGCTCCGGCGACGATGTCGGTGGCAGCAGCGGCACCGGCGGGGGCGGCGCCTTCAAGACATCGTTCATCGTGATCGTGGCGCTGGGCGCAGTGTCGTGCGTCCTGAATGTGGCCATGGCGATGATCGTGCTGCACTGCAAGCGGGAGAACAAGGAGTTGCGCATCTACAACTGCCGCGCGGCCGACGAGTCCAGCGCGCGGCCAAGCCCGCGCAAGAACGACGTGATGCTGGTGCGTGACGAGCTCGAGGCGGCCGCCTGCAGCAAGGCGGGCTCCGATAGCGATCCGGCATCCGTCATCGCGCTCGACACCTACGAGTACCGGTCGTTCCTGCCCTCGGAGGCGGCGGACGCGCGTGCCGGTCTGACCTGCTGCTCGGCGGCTTCGCGCAGCCTGCCGCACAGGTAAACGATGTGAGACGCCCCCCTTTTTTAAGTTACCGCGCGGGCCCGGGGAGGCCTGCGAAGTAATCTCCGCTGAGTTTTCACTCCGTGACTGCCCTGGCAATAACTTAAGAAATATTGAAAATCAATCGTCCATCACGATTCATCATCTCCCCCCCTCCACCAAGTGTGCGTTACGCACAATGCAGCATGCACGGCGAGGGGGAAATACAAAAAAATTCTATACACATCTCCATAGACTGTCCACGTAATTAAATTTCAATCAAGTATAAAATATGTTGGGCCATAGTTGGCATTGTGTATGATTCATTGACTTTGCTGAAATTTCATCTCCATGCATTTTACTCCGGTTATCAATTATAATGTAATGGTGGTCGCATTTGTCGCTCGGACAGGCGAGGGTTGAGCAGCACGACACGGGGGGGGGGGGGGGGGGGGATTCCCACGAGTCCGTGGGATCTGCTGGTGGCAGATGTTTAAGAGACTCAGAAGCGGATATAATGAGGCACATTAGAAGAATACGGATTGCCACAATTACGCAATACGAATCGTGCTGAGATCCGGGCACTCCTTTTGGCGAACTTAATATACGTTTAAAAAAAACACGAAACACGTGGTCCCAGCGAGGACCCATCTTCAAAGGTGGAGTATTTGTCGCGTTGGCCAATGGCCTGGCCGTTACCAAACCAGTCGGCGGAGACCATCACAGACGTGTTCCTTCATGGCTACGTATTAGACAAAGGCGCCCCTGAATGTCTCTTGACAGACCAAGGCAAAAAAATGTTCGTCGAAGCTGTTGAAGGAGGTTTGCGAGCATTTGGGTACCAAAAAGGTGGGTACGTCGCCTTATCACCCCCAGACGGATGGTATGGTAGAGAGGTTACGCAGAACCCTGACTTCGATGTTATGCCAACGTGTCAATGAAACACAATCCGACTGGTACACTTTCCAGGTGTGCTCGCAGCATACAGTTCCGCCCCGCATGCTTCTACTGGGTTTTCCACGTTCTTTTTGATGTATGGAAGGGAGCGTGACCCACCGATTGATGTGCAGTTAAAACCGCTGGAGAAGTGTACTAGGATATCGGACCCTAGCACATGGGTGAGAAGCCGGGCATGTGTGACGAGTGCGGCAAGACGTTTTTCTCGCGCTCGGCCTATAATTATATATATATTTTTCTATTCTGCTTGTGTGTTAATCTATGTATACCCCGGATATTTTAAAGATGGCAATTCTCCTGCTGTATATCATACTGCTGTCCCTCCCGGCCATATCTAGTGCCACACTCAACTCTACAAACGGCTACCCTCGTTACTTTGCGTCCATACTTGTTGCTCGATTTGCCACTACACCTGCAAATGAAACAGCTCATAGACACTTCTACACTCCATCATTGTATCCTTTTAAACCCTATCTTTGTCCCATTACTTCACCAGCACTCCTTTCAAACTTCATTCTGCTCTTAAAAATAACACCATCTGCGAGCTGCTGCTATTCGTCCAAGGTTCACCGCTCTTCATCCTTTCACGGAAAATACTTGTGCAAACTATTAATTCTACTTTTCTTATTTCTGGGTGGTATTGAGCTTCATCCTGGCCCAAATATAAAGAACTCGTATAATTCTGTAGATTTTTCTGGCAGGAAAGGTGTTGGTGTTCTACATGTCAACATCAGAGGGCTTGTGATTGAATTAAGTCAACTAAAACTAGAAGTGGCAGATCTTTACCTGGACATTTTTTGCCTAACAGAAACATTTCTCACTCCTACCATCAATGACTAGCAGATTACGATTGAACTACAACCTTTTTCGGCTTTACTGAGTATCTAAAGGAGGTGGAATTGGCATCTATGTTCGTAATACTATTGCATGTTCACCAGCTCACTCCTTGTTTAAAAAATGTTGCTTTGAAGGTTTGGCTCTCAGAATAACTCTCCCAAATAATCAACAGATATTGGTAGTGTGCTGCTATAGACCGCCTAGTGGGAAGGATGTTGAAGCTGCATCGGCACTGAGAGAGCTTTTTGGGGGCCTGCCTAAAGGTGAAATAGTTTTAGTGGGTGATCTAAATTGGATTTGGCTAAACTCGCCAGCCATGGCCACAAATTTTACAGATGAATTTAACCTGTTTCAATTAATAAATGTCCCCACAAGACCCAACCTAAAAAATCCGGGACAGTCAACTCTGCTTGACATCCTATTGACAAATGCCCCTCACAATTTCGCACTGACTGGTGTTCTGGGTAATAACCTTAGTGATCGCTCCTTCATTTTTGGGGTGAGATCATCAGCCAGACCCAAAGCCCCTGCTAAAATTGTTGAGAAGCACTCTTTGAGGCACTTCAGCACTCAGGCATTTACTAATGTGCTTTACTCGGATATTGACAAGGTCTGTGATATCCCCAACCTGACTACGGCTTGGGAGACTTTCAGGTACAGTGGTCCCTCGTTTATCGCGGGGGATACGTTCTAAAAATAACCCGCAATAGACGAAATCCGCGAAGTAATCAGCTTTATTTTTTACAATTATTATACATCTTTTAAGGCCGTAAAACCCCTAACCACACACTTTTAAACACTTTTCTCAGACAGGCATTAACATTTTCTCACATTTCTCTCTTATTTAAACACTCTCAAAGTTCAAACTTTCGCAGATTTAAAAAAATAAGTACAATATTAGTAAATGAAACCAAAGATCAAAACCTGTTTTCAAGCCCAAACATTTTTGTAAATCTGGCTAGCCGAACGCATTTTGTACTCCCTTAGCTAATCAGGACGCAGAACAGATGTGCGGTTCTCCCTTAGCCAATCAGGACGCCGAACACAATGCGCGTTCATACTGTACGCAGGAAAAAAAAGCATGCGAAATTTCACTAAAAAAATCTGCGAAACAGCGAGGCCGCGAAAGGTGAACCGCGTTATAGTGAGGGACAACTGTACACGTTTCTGCAAATTCTTAACAAACATGCTCCATTGGCTAGATTTAAAACTCAAGGCAACCGCCCACCATGATATTATCCTTTGATTACAAAGCTCATGAAAACTAGGGACAAGGCTTGGGCATGTGCTCAGAAAAGTAATTTGGTAAATGACTTGCTAGAATACAGGATTTTAAGGAATAGATGCATCAAAAAAGTACGGCATGGAAAAAATGCCTACTTTTCCTCCATTCTCCTGGAATCACATGGAAATGCCAGGATTTTTTGGAAAACATTCAAATGTATCGAAAAGGCATCCAAAACAGATAATCTGCCCGTTGAGCTTAACCAAAATGAGGAATATTTTTCAGTTCCCAAAAAAATAGTTGACAATTTTAACTTTGGTTTAACACGTAGGCTTTCGCGACCAATATCCATAATAAAGGTTTTTGGGTTAGATCGCGTTATTTATAAATGTGTCGTAACCCTCCACCACCCGACACGGCCAATCAGCAAAAAAGTGTCACGTTGACAAATGACAAATAAAGACAAAAAAATAATTAGCCCACCGGTGTGTTGAAGAGTGAATCCACAACATTTACAGTTTGAGTACGACGTTTCGCTGGTAAATACATCCAGCATCATCGGGTAATTCGCCAGAATGGTAAAGCCCTCGCTTGCTCCCGGTTTTAAATAGAGCAGCAGGGTGACGTCATCATTTAACTCATATCAGGTGCAGTGATCAGAGGCGGAGGGTATTGTAATTATATAATCGATTAGTAATCAGTCAATGGTTATGATTAGTAATGAGTTGTAGATTAGTAATTAGTTGTAATGTGTGTTAGTGATTATATGCTATTTTAGTAATCCGTTAATTAGTATGTGTTTCCCCATAAGGAATTGTAATGTGCATTCATATTCTTAGCTCCCTCGGCAAAGCCACGCTGAAGGGAAACAGGAAAACAACAAATATATATTTTATTATTTTATTGCTTCCCCCCAACGCGACTCCACCAAAAGAGCCAAGAACATGAATTACTGCAGTCACGAAAGCTTTAAATTTAAATGTAATGTGTATTATTTAATAATACGCTTCCAGGCCGCACTAAGCCTGTAGCTGTCAGAGCGATTAAGGTTATTTTTATTCCTCTCAATTTCAATGGATTCTTTAATTAGTCTTTGCCAGTAATAATTAGTTTTACACAACACTGCAACATTATCAAAATCAATTGAGTGTCCTTGTTGACAAGCATGTTCTGCCACTGCCGACAGTTGTGTTTGAGATAATTTAATATTTCTCTGATGTTCTTTTAGTCTTACACTGATGTTACGCCCCGTCTGTCCAATATAGCATCTGCCACATAAACAATTAATCCAATATACACCTTCTGTTGATAATTCAGGTAATGCGTCTTTAGTGCAAGATACTAGTTTTTGAATTTTGTGTACTGTACCAAATCTTACTGTAATGTTTTGCTTTTGCAAAACACGGGCTAATTTGTCAGTTACTCTTGAGATATATGGAATTTTTATTGTTTTAACAATCTGATCGCTTTCAGCAGTATTGCTTTGCGATCGTGATTTGGCATTCAGTGCTGTTAATTTGAGCATTATTGTAGCCATTCTGTCGTGTTTGATCTCTCTCACTAGACTCTCACCATCTGACACTGTTTTAGCCCGATGTATGAGCGTCTTGATAAGAGAGGATTTCTGAGCTGGATGATGATGTGAATCTGCATTCAGATAGGCATCAGTGTGCGTTTGCTTTCTGTAAACGCTGTGTGTTATTTTACCATTTAGGCCATGTCCAAGCAAAATATCTAGGAATGGGAGTGTGTTATTCACCTCCATTTCCATGGTGAACTGGTTGGCCAGGTTTTGTGCATTGAGATGATTTAGAAAATCATTAAGTGTATCTTTACCATGTGGCCAGACAACCAAAGTGTCATCCACATATCTAAACCAAAAGGATGGTTTTAATGTGCTCGAGGCAAGTGCTCTTATTTCAAAGTGTTCATGTACAAATTTGCTATAGCAGGGAATAAAGGAGAGCCCATTGCTGCCCCTTCCTTTTGTTTAAAGAAATCCCCTCTCCATAAGAAGTAAGTGTTATTCAAACAATGGTCAGCAAGTTTCGGAATATCTTTTGGTAAACCGGTATTCTTTACTAGTGTATCAAGTAATTTAAGCGATTCGCTCACTGGAACCTTAGTGAATAGAGAAATCACATCAAAACTTACCAGAATATCATCAGGAGTAAGTTTAATATATCTAATCACATTCACAAGATGTTCTGAATTTTTTTTATGAATGAAGATGTCCTACCGATGTAGGGCTGTATTTGTTTGGTTATATATTTTGCTAATTGATATGTGGCAGAGCCAATTGTACTATGGGTCATAATGGGATGCCGATTTTATGAATCTTTGGTAGCCCATAGAGTCTAGGTGGTTTTGAGGCCCTTGGATTAATTTGGTATTGCTCATTTTTAGGGATTAATGAATTTGCAATTATTGCAGTGGTCTTCATAAAATCGGCATCCCATTACGACCCATAGTCAGTACAATTGGCTCTGCCACATATCAATTAGCTTAAATTGCTTGATACACTAGTAAAGAATACCAGTTTACCAAAAGATATTCCGAAACTTGCTGACCATTGTTTAAATAACACTTACTTCTTATGGAGAGGGGATTTATTTAAACAAAAGGAAGGAGCAGCAATGGGCTCTCCTTTATCGCCTGCTATAGCAAATTTGTACATGGAAAACTTTGAAATAAGAGCACTTGCCTCGAGCACATTAAAACCATCCTTTTGGTTTAGATATGTGGATGACACTTTGGTTGTCTGGCCACTTGGTAAAGATACACTTAATGATTTTCTAAATCATCTCAATGCACAAAACCCGGCCAACCAGTTCACCATGGAAATGGAGGTGAATAACACACTCCCATTCCTAGATATTTTGCTTGGACATGGCCTAAACGGTAAAATAACACACAGCGTTTACAGAAAGCAAACGCACACTGATGCCTATCTGAATGCAGATTCACATCATCATCCAGCTCAGAAATCCTCTCTTATCAAGACGCTCATACATCGGGCTAAAACAGTGTCAGATGGTGAGAGTCTAGTGAGAGAGATCAAACACGACAGAATGGCTACAATAATGCTCAAATTAACAGCACTGAATGCCAAATCACGATCACAAAGCAATACTGCTGAAAGCGATCAGATTGTTAAAACAATAAAAATTCCATATATCTCAAGAGTAACTGACAAATTAGCCCGTGTTTTGCAAAAGCAAAACATTACAGTAAGATTTGGTACAGTACACAAAATTCAAAAACTAGTATCTTGCACTAAAGACGCATTACAGAAGGTGTATATCGGATTGTTTATGTGGCAGATGCTATATTGGACAGACGGGACGTAACATCAGTGTAAGACTAAAAGAACATCAGAGAAATATTAAATTATCTCAAACACAACTGTCGGCAGTGGCAGAACATGCTTGTCAACAAGGACACTCAATTGATTTTGATAATGTTGCAGTATTGTGTAAAACTAATTATTACTGGCAAAGACTAATTAGAGAATCCATTGAAATTGAGAGGAATAAAAATAACTTTAATCGCTCTGACAGCTACAGGCTTAGTGCGGCCTGGAAGCGTATTATTAAATAATACACATTACATTTTAATTTAAAGCTTTCGTGACTGCAGTAATTCATGTTCTTGGCTCTTTCGGTGGAGTCGCGTTGGGGGGAAGCAATAAAATAATAAAATATATATTTGTTGTTTTCTTGTTTCCCTTCAGCGTGGCTTTGCCGAGGGAGCTAAGAATATGAATGCACATTACAATTCCTTATGGGGAAACACATACTAATTAACGGATTACTAAAATAGCATATAATCACTAACACATTACAACTAATTACTAATCTACAACTCATTACTAATCATAACCATTGACTGATTACTAATCGATTATATAATTACAATACCCCCCTCCGCCTCTAATCACTGCACCTGATATGAGTTAAATGATGACGTCACCCTGCTGCTCTATTTAAAACCGGGAGCAAGCGAGGGCTTTACCATTCTGGCGAATTGCCCGATGATGCTGGATGTATTTACCAGCGAAACATCGTACTCAAACTGTAAATGTTGTGGATTCACTCTTCAACACACCGGTGGGCTAAAGTAGTGAATTATTTGTCTTTTGTCAACGTGACACTTTTTTTGCTGATTGGCCGTGTCGAGTGGTGGAGGGTTACGACACATTTATAAATAACGCGATCTAACTCAAAAACCTTTATTATGAATTTTAACCTTCATTTTTCTGAAGCTGGTAATCTTTTTGATAATGTATTGGGAGTCACCCCTGCTCATGCAAATTCCTACACCCCTGTCCAAACATTAAACAAATTTAGTTTCCAGCCAATCCACGAAAGTAATGTTCTGAAACAACTGTCCTACCTCAAAGGGTCCTCCTCTACCGGAGGAGATAGTTTTCCCGTCCTTGCTCTACTAACTGTTGGTCACCTAATATACAAACCTATAGCCCATGTTTTCAATCTGTCCATCAAAGAAGCATCAGTTCCTCTAGAATGGAAACATTCCTATGTCCGTCCACTTCACAAAGGGGGCCCTAAAGATGATCCCAATAACTACCGACTGATCTCAATTTTGTCCCCATTGATGAAATTTGTTGAAAAATTATTGAACTACCAAATTAGCAGTTTCCTGTCCACCAACAATCTACTACATCTAAAACAATCTGGGTTCCGAAAAAAATACAGCACCCCATCTGCTGCATTAGACTCTCTGAATCAAATTTACAGTAGCCTTGATCATAAGCAGTTCTGTGCCTGTCTTTTTCTTGACCCTGCCCAAAGCTTTTGATACAGTAAACCACAACACCCTGCTTAGTAAACTAAGTTGCCTCGGTTTTTCCGAAAACACAGTACAATGGTTAAAAAATTACCTCTTTTCTCGCACCCAAACTGTATTCACAGATCGTTGGAGGTCAAACAGTGTTAAGATAACAAAATGGGTTCCACAGGGTTCCATCCTCGGCCCCCTCTTGTTCTCTCTTTATGTCAATGACTTGGGCACTGACCTGGATCATTCCAGGATAAATCTTTTGCTGATGACACGATACTGATTACTGCTGGCCGCTCTCCAGATGACGTGATTGCTAAGCTCCAGGGTGATTTCAACAAACTACAACATCAGCGAGTTGCTCTTAAACTAGTCCTGAATTCCTCCAAAACCAAGGTGCTATGCTTCTCACCGGGACTAAAGCAGGAAGTTATTTTTCCCCAATTACATTCCTTAAATAATTATCAAATAGAGCAAGTCAAGATCTATAAGTATCTTGGGGTCATCCTGGATTCAAAACTGAATTTTGAAGATCACATTGATTATATTGGTAAAAAGACAAATAAAAATTGGTTTTCTGTATCAGCACAAGCACTGCTTCCCCCCAATGTTCCGTTTGGAAATGATAAAAGCTACCATACTGCCTCTACTTGACTACTGTGACATCGTGTATAAATCAGCCCCAAGTACTGTACTGAAGAAGCTTGATTCCATCTATCACTCGGCCTTAAGATTTGCATTGAACTGCCCATATAGGACTCACCACTGTGATCTCTACATTGGGTCAAACTTAACATCTCTTAATGTTCGACGACTTGTGCACCAGATCTTATTTATTCACGATGTACTTACAAAAAATCTGCAGACTACCTACTGGATCTCCTCTCTGTTTCAAAGAACAAATTTGACCTCAGGTCTTCGCTCATTTACCAGCTTCACGTTCCCTATTGCAGTACAAAAACCGGAGGAAGGGCCTTTGCTATTGATGCCCCCAGGGTCTGGAATGCTATTGCCAATAAACTGCAACTTGAATCACTACCTATGAGATCTTCACTCAAAACTGCTCTAGAGGAGTTGTACACCCCTAGCTGCCACTGCTATTCAGTGACCTAAAATATGGCTCTCGGGTTTGATGTTACATATTAATGTAGTTTATTGTTAAAAATTTGGTCACAGTCCCTATGATCACTGTTACATTGCATTTATGGCTTTTATTTTGGTGATTTCGAAAACGTTTTTTTGGTTTGGCCAAGTTTTTGTTTATTGTAGTACGGAGTTAGACTGATGGCCTTAATCTTAGTTGTCTTGTGGTTGTTATTGTTGTTGTTGTTTGACTTGCATCCCACTGGGATTTTTGCACACAGCGTTGGTGTACGGTGCTATTTCAGGAATATTTTGATGGTTTTTTTTCCTGGATTTTCTGTTTGCACAGTGACATAATCACTTTAAGATGTTTTCTTGTTCATGTTTTTGTTTTTTGTTTGTTGCGGTTGCACCCGATTCAAGAGCCGAATGGTTCACAGGGCTATACCAAATGGAACAAAAAAATGGAACCCCTTACGCCTTACCCTACAGCGATTAGATGAAGCTAGAGAGGCATCTGGGGGAACTCGCCCTTGCGACAGGCGGCCAACGAACGGCTCGTCAAGCCTCGCCAGTCCATTACCCTATGGACGCCAGGAGACAAGGCGTGGCTCCACTACCCCCACGTCCCGTTGGGTACCTCCCCGAATTACATGGCAGGGCCGGTCGAAGTGGTGGAGGTGCGGAGTCCGCAGTGCGTGCGGATTCAGTGTGGTCGCCGCGACTGGTTTGTGTACCTGTCATGGCTAAAACGTTTTTTTCCGCCTGACGTTAGTCTTTTATCGCCACTTCCTGAGGGCCGGGTGTCTGGTCAGGCCGATGAGCTGGGGCGCACGTCGGCTGACGTCCTCCCTCAGGACAGTTTTATTGTTCCGCCCGCAGGGTCCAAGCGCCTAAAGGGGCCGACGTCACCGGTCAGACCGGCCCGGGGGGAACGGGGAAATCCGGAGCCACCATCGCCCGACCTCCTACCACATGAGGGTTCTTCGGCTCAGGAGGTGCTGGGCTCGTCGAGCCTTCTTCTGGCTGCTTCCGTAGCCGTCGGTGGACCCGCACCCTCCTCGCTTGACGGGCCGGCATCAAGGACTCAGGCAAAGACGGTTCGATTTAAATGACCATCCTCCGGCGTCGATGTGCACCTACACCCATGGTCCGCGACCGCGACTCGAGCCAGATGGGTCAATGGCTGACTCGGGCTCGTCTTGTGCTCGAGTGCGGTGTTTTATGTGCGGGGTGGCTCGTCCATTGTCAATAATTGCATCCAAGTTGTTTTTCTCTCTTCCTCCATCCCTTCTTCTCTCCTTGGTTCAAATTATTGGTTCTTCCTCGGTCTGGATTATTTGTTGTTTTTTTTTATTTAAAGCTTTCGTGACTGCAGGGATTCATATTCTTGGTTCTTTCGGTAAAGTCACGTAGAAGGGAAACAATAAAAATATATTTTCGTCATATTTTTGTTTCCCTTCTACGTGACTTTACCGAAATAATAAAAATATATTTTATATTATATTTTTGTTTCCCTTCTACGTGACTTTACTGAAAGAACCAAGAATATGTTGTATTGTTCCCTTGTTGCATTCTAGGTTGGCGGCCCACACATTACATTGGTTTTATGTCGGTCAGCCAAGACGGCTGAGTTTCATAAGGGGGCGGGGGGGGGGGGGTGATATAGAGACCTAAATGGCGTCTCTACGGCGTATATGCCGACTGCAACTACAAATGGTAATGGTGTGTGCACGTACCTCTCGAGGGAGCCGACGAAGACGTGGCGGAGAAGCAGGCCCCTACGGAGCAGGGTCCCGTCGCAGAGAGGGAGAGGGCATGTGCCAACTCAGGGGATTAAAGGGGGCCCGGAAACGGAGGCCCCGGAGGACATGTGATGCTGGCTCTGGTTCCGTCTCGAGAGACCGAAGTGGGGGCGTGGCCGGAGGTGCAGCGAGGCCACGTCTCTAGGACTGTATGTGCTTCATAGCACATAGGATGTTCTTATGCACTGTGCTAGTTGCGCACCACTGCCAACGAATGCTGTATCGCCAAATTATGACGCGAGTTACTTATTTGCCAGTCATAAAAAAACATTGGATGACAACGAGACATGACAATTATTAAAAAAGCCATCAACGACCACATGGGGGCCCACCTTGCGGGTGAGCCGTATTGCAGCTCAGTGGGGTTCGTTCCCGGTACGCAAGTTGAGCCGGATGGCTTTGCAGCCATTGCCATCATCATCATTGGATTAACCTATCAACCATGGACAGGAAGGTTTTATCCTAGCCAGGCGTGGTGGCCCATGCAAGCCTTTCAATTACATATACGACAATACGGCATGTAAACAAGTAATTTGGCGATACTGCTTCTACGTTGGCAGCGGTGCACAAGGACAACAGAAACTAAAACTCAATGCATTCATCAATATCACTGCAGCCTTAACAGAAAAAATATATGCCAGGCGACGTTTCGGGCAACGGCCCATATTCATATCACATCAAATGTGTTGATGGTTTAATTAAAAGTGGTTCGTCCGCAAGCAGGCGCACGCATCACTCGCCTGATGAACTTGGAAAGTTCCGCACGCGCAGCAGCAGCGTAACACTTGAAAGTCGACCATGCTGGTATCAATAACGAGCATGAACTTGTCAAGACACCAAACCGCGACAAGAGGCGATGTGGTGTAATTATAACGCTGATAACGACGCCGACGACGTTAACGCCCTGCCCGACGAAACTTTCCCGCCTTTGCTAAAGGGCCCAATGATGACGTCACGAAACGCGAGCGAGCAAAGACGTAATTTCGCCCGAAGGGAAATGACATCACGCGTGAGCTGTTGAGTGGAAGTAAGTCCAGGTGTAGAATTTTGACTTCATCATGACCGCGGTAAAATGCACCGATTGTACACTGATGTGATGATTCTTTTGCGTAGTGTATTATACAGGGTGTTTCAAAACGATGGACCCAATTTCAAAGCAGTATATTTCACGATGGCAACATTGTAATTGTAACATGTTGCCATCATGAAATATACTCCTTTGAAATTACAAACGGTTTAATGAGTTATCAAGTTTTACTAACCATTTTATAAATGCTCTATGTGCCCTCCACCTGCTGTAGGGACAACATCGAGACGATAGTTGAATTCGTCCCAAATGCCTCTCAAAGTGTCTTCTTCCACTGAAGTCACCGCTGCCGTGATTCTGTTAAGGGTCATCCATATTAGTCGCTAATGGTGGCACAAAAAGACGGTCTTTGACGTATCCCCACAAGAAAAAGTCGCAGGGTGTGATGTCTGGGGATCTTTGGGGCCAAGAGTGTAGCGCCAAGTCTTGGGGTCCCGTGCGACCTATCCAACACTGGAGGCAGTGTGTCTTGCAAATGACTGAGGCTAGGGGCTGTTTGTGCACTCGGAGAAGCGTCTAGCGGTAATCATTTGAACCTTTATGCCCCGCCCTTTCAAGCGGTAAGATTTTCTTTCATGGGGCCAGTTTCGTGGTTGCAGAGATATAGCGATTTCAAATCGGGAGAATTTTTTTTTTCGCACCCTGTATACTCTTTTTTTCGTCGACCAAGGAACCCATGTCTAAGAGAAAGTCCTAGACTCTAAACATCTGATAGTTGACCCTCTTTGGTTCCAACAAGGCTGATTCTGGCTGATGCGAGACTCAATGTCGAAACCGACCCAGAGTTTGCCTGGGTTTGAGCCAAATGCCCTCTGTATGACCGATGGGATGTTTAAATAAATACTTTCTTTTTTTATCTGGAGATGTTCTTCGAATAAAATTTTGATTTAAAGCTTTCGTGACTGCAGTAATTCATATTCTTAGTTCTTTCGGTAAAGTCACGTTAAAGGGAAACAACAAAATAATAAATTATATATAAAACAATAAAACAAATTCTCACGACGTTTCGACCATAACACAAACGGTCGTCTTCAGGTCTGTTGGTTTGCATAAATTTATTTTTTAACGGTGCATTTATTTATTTATAATAAAAAACGTTAGCGCCACGCGCAGCGATTTGGCAGTTTATTTAGGACTAGTCCATCTATATTCTGAAAAGAGGAGGGGGGAGACGAATTTTTTTGTTTTATATATAATTTATTATTTTGTTGTTTCCCTTTAACGTGACTTTACCGAAAGAACTAAGAATATGTTCTTCGAATGTTTCAGTTGAAATTTGACCCATGGCACTTTGATTTTCTGAGGCATTAAGTTGCACTTAAATGAAAGATTACTGTCATTTAACTGAACATATTTTTACGGTATTTTACTTGTTATTAAATTTTGTACTTTTTGATTGTTGAAAGGTTTTCTGTTTCCCAATAGCACCGATTTGCTAACTATTCATATACCAATTAAAAACTGGTCATCAGAAAACATAAAAAAATATAATTCTAATCAAGGCCCCATCATGTAGAATGCGGTATTCAACTTGTATTATCCCCTCTGTGACCCATGCTCTTTGAATAAAGGCCATTGCTTGAAATGTCGCATGTTACATTTTTTATTTTAAGACCACTTTTTGACGAATTCTTTTTTTATAATTGCTAACCATCGTATTTAGACATTTCTAGAGTGAGTGATAAGACACTTCTAGAGTGAGTGATAAGACACTTCTAGAGTGAGTGATAAGACACTTCTAGAGTGAGTGATAAGACACTTCTAGAGTGAGTGATAAGACACTTCTAGAGTGAGTGATAAGACACTTCTAGAGTGAGTGATAAGACACTTCTAGAGTGAGTGATAAGACACTTCTAGAGTGAGTGATAAGACACTTCTAGAGTGAGTGATAAGACACTTCTAGAGTTAGTGATAAGACACTTCTAGAGTGAGTGATAAGACACTTCTAGAGTGAGTGATAAGACACTTCTAGAGTGAGTGATAAGACACTTCTAGAGTGAGTGATAAGACACTTCTAGAGTGAGTGATAAGACACTTCTAAAGTGAGTGCTAAGACACTTCTAGAGTGAGTGATAAGACACTTCTAGAGTGAGTGATAAGACACTTCTAGAGTGAGTGATAAGACACTTCTAGAGTTAGTGATAAGACACTTCTAGAGTGAGTGATAAGACACTTCTAGAGTGAGTGATAAGACACTTCTAGAGTGAGTGATAAGACACTTCTAGAGTGAGTGATAAGACACTTCTAAAGTGAGTGCTAAGACACTTCTAGAGTGAGTGATAAGACACTTCTAGAGTGATAAGACACTTCTAGAGTGAGTGATAAGACACTTCTAGAGTGAGTGATAAGACACTTCTAGAGTGAGTGATAAGACACTTCTAGAGTGAGTGATAAGACACTTCTAGAGTGAGTGATAACACACTTCTAAAGTGAGTGCTAAGACACTTCTAGAGTGAGTGATAAGACACTTCTAGAGTGAGTGATAAGACACTTCTAGAGTGAGTGATAAGACACTTCTAGAGTGAGTGATAAGACACTTCTAGAGTGAGTGATAAGACACTTCTAGAGTGAGTGATAAGACACTTCTAGAGTGAGTGATAAGACACTTCTAGAGTGAGTGATAAGACACTTCGAGAGTGAGTGATAAGACACTTCTAGAGTGAGTGATAAGACACTTCTAGAGTGAGTGATAAGACACTTCTAGAGTGAGTGATAAGACACTTCTAGAGTGAGTGATAAGACACTTCTAGAGTGAGTGATAAGACACTTCTAGAGTGAGTGATAAGACACTTCTAGAGTGAGTGATAAGACACTTCTAGAGTTAGTGATAAGACACTTCTAGAGTGAGTGATAAGAAACTTCTAGAGTGAGTGATAAGACACTTCTAGAGTGAGTGATAAGACACTTCTAGAGTGAGTGATAAGACACTTCTAGAGTGAGTGATAAGACACTTCTAAAGTGAGTGCTAACACACTTCTAGAGTGAGTGATAAGACACTTCTAGAGTGAGTGATAAGACACTTCTAGAGTGAGTGATAAGACACTTCTAGAGTTAGTGATAAGACACTTCTAGAGTGAGTGATAAGACACTTCTAGAGTGAGTGATAAGACACTTCTAGAGTGAGTGATAAGACACTTCTAAAGTGAGTGCTAAGACACTTCTAGAGTGAGTGATAAGACACTTCTAGAGTGATAAGACACTTCTAGAGTGAGTGATAAGACACTTCTAGAGTGATAAGACACTTCTAGAGTGAGTGATAAGACACTTCTAGAGTGAGTGATAAGACACTTCTAGAGTGATAAGACACTTCTAGAGTGAGTGATAAGACACTTCTAAAGTGAGTGCTAAGACACTTCTAAAGTGAGTGATAAGACACTTCTAGAGTGAGTGATAAGACACTTCTAGAGTGAGTGATAAGACACTTCTAGAGTGAGTGATAAGACACTTCTAGAGTGAGTGATAAGACACTTCTAGAGTGAGAGATAAGACACTTCTAGAGTGAGTGATAAGACACTTCTAGAGTGATAAGACACTTCTAGAGTGAGAGATAAGACACTTCTAGAGTGAGTGATAAGACACTTCTAGAGTGAGTGATAAGACACTTCTAGAGTGAGTGATAAGACACTTCTAGAGTGAGTGATAAGACACTTCTAGAGTCAGTGATAAGACACTTCTAGAGTGAGTGATAAGACACTTCTAGAGTGAGTGATAAGACACTTCTAGAGTGAGTGATAAGACACTTCTAGAGTGAGTGATAAGACACTTCTAGAGTGAGTGATAAGACACTTCGAGAGTGAGTGATAAGACACTTCTAGAGTGAGTGATAAGACACTTCTAGAGTGAGTGATAAGACACTTCTAGAGTGAGTGATAAGACACTTCTAGAGTGAGTGATAAGACACTTCTAGAGTGAGTGATAAGACACTTCTAGAGTGAGTGATAAGACACT